GGGGATCACTCAGGTGTGTTGGCTTTGCCACTGGGCATTTTGGTTTACTTTGTTAACTTTGCCTGTTTTGGCTAGAAGAAAGATGGGATGAGGTGGAACTTGTAGGGTTGTGTGGTCTTCACGTGTACTCAGGCCCATGCTGGGGAGTGGGGCCCAGCTGCACAGTTGTTGAAGCCAGCAGTAGACTCCCCTGGTCTGTTGCCCTTGAGGTTGTCTCAATATAAACCTGTGGCACACCTCTTACTTTATACTGTGGAGAATAGGCAATAAACCAGAGCCAGGCCTGACCTTGAAAGAACCCTGAGTCAACTGGGAAAGCCCATATACATGGATTAACTGGTCCAAGCCAGATTATACACAACTTCCCAGGGCTACAGAGGATCCAGAGGAGGCTGCCCTGAGTATTAATGGGGCTGGGATAGGGTAGGTTTCCCAGAGGAGGCACAACTGACCTGAGTTTTTAAGAGGAAGGAGCAGGGGATTCAAGAATCCCATGTAACAAAAATCTTGAGCAAAGGCCTAGACAGGGGAATATGACCAATATATTGGGGATTTGAGAGTAGTTGGGGTGGGGGTACAGGAAGGTACACAGAATACAGGGTTCCTATGACAGAGTGGAGAAAACGAGACTGCAAAGATAGACCAGGGCAAATTACAAGAGGCCTTGAATACTATGCCAAAGCATTTGAACTTGAGCATTGGCTGTGGGAACCTTTTTAGTATCATGGAATTTGAAAGTTTGAAATTGGGGGGGTAACATGTTATGGAAAGATAATTTGGGTGGCAGGGAGGGGTGAACTGAAAGAGGGATTGATGAGGGAGATTTAAGAGCCATTTGCAAAGTTTTAGGTGAAAGAACTTGAACTACAGCCTGGCCCTCAGGCCTGCGTTCCCTCCCAGCCCCATGTGCAGGTGCACATGCCTTCTCCTCTCTTCTGCCAGGCCCCAGCACCTCCAGGGTGAGGGGGTGCTGGCAGCACCTTCTGTTAGCAATACTAGGGTGAGCCGGGCTTTTAAAACTGCCTAGTATCAGAGCAAACTGCCAAGTCCCATTTCACATTGCATCATCAAATACTTACCCCTTATCCCTAAGCTGGTAAAACTTACTCCTAGAAAAGTTACATACAGTTTAACATTGTGAAATAACATTTTATGTTTGATAATTTAGCATTAGAAAATATTCTGACATCCCTTTTTAAAATTAATTTTTATTTTCATCAAAGTATCATGTGCTTTATTTTATCTTTTTTTTTTTTTTTTCAAGACACAGTCTCACTTTGTGGCCCCTGGGAGAGTACCGTGTCATCATAGCTCACAGCAACCTCAGACTCCTGGGCTCAAGTGGTTCTCTTGCCTCAGCCTCCTGAGTAGCTGGGACTATAGGCACCTACCACAACGCCTGGCTATTTTTTAGAGACAGGATCTCGCTCTAGCTCAGGCTGCTCTTGAACTTCTGAGCTCAGGTGATCCACCTGCTTCAGCCTCCCAGAGTGATGAGATGAGCCACTGTGTCCAGCCCTATTATATGCTTTAAAGTGTCAGAAAGGATGAAAAGTGGGTCTTCCTGGTGGTGGAGCTCCTCCACCTGGTGGGTCCTCCTCTGGGCCCACCGTGGAAGAGGCTGATTAAGCCAACCTGACTGTGAGTGCAGCAATAGTACCACACAGTACAACACCGAAGAACCCAAATTTGTAGCAAATTCTGTGGTAGTTTTAAAGTTGAGTTTCTATAGTAACTTACTGCAACTTCTCATTACTTGACTATGGAACGTGTGTGCAAGGAAAGGATGTAACAGTGCACTGTATAATCCCCGTATGTAGTGTACGTGGCAAGTGCATTGTTTTAAACCTATTTAAAATTGGCACCCTCTGCCCAAAAAAGAACCAAAAGACTTTTTTTTTTAAGTCTGTACCCTAGAGGCAACATTTTATGCTCTTTTTTCTAGTATGTATCTTTACTGCTTTAAATAATAGTCTTATGTCATTTTTTCTTTTTTTGAGTTGAGACATCATCTGTCATAAGTTTTGGATAATTTGGTATCTATGTTTATGTTATAACCATATAAAAATTATACAGCAGTGGTGCCTGTGGCTCAAAAGGGTAGGACACCAGTCCCATATGTCGGAGGTGGCGGGTTCAAACCCAGCTCCAGCGCCCCCCAAAAAATTATTCACTGCCAAGGTACAACTTGTATTTTCTCTTCGACTTAATACCTGCTTCTTGAGGGGGCAGGATTCTACTTTTAACTATTAAGCACCAATTCTGTCCAACTCTTCTCTGCAAATCTCAATACCCTTTCCCACATGGTCATGGCATTTTCCCCGCAAGCTCTCTGTCTTTCGCTCAGACCAGCTGCACAGCCCTTGTTCTAGGCCCCTTAGCTCCTGTCACCACTCTCTATAGTGGCTTCTGTCTCCTAGAACCCACAGCTGCTGCTTTCTTCGTTTTCACTTGCTTCTGTGTAGCACAGCTTCCAGGGCTCCCTGAGAAGGTGTGCATGGAAGGCCAGTCTTTTCACCCTTCCTCATCTAGAGATGTCTGTCTTCTCCCCCATACTCTATTAATAGGCTGTCATTTCGTGGGCTGAGTAAGGAGTTCAAGGCTGAAGGGATTTTCTCCCAGACACTGTGAGGCCTTGCTCCATCATCACATGGTTTCTAGGTTTTTGTTGAGGACCCCAGCACTGTTCTCATCTCCAGTTTTTTGTATGTGAATTTTTTCTTTCTGGACTCTTAGGTGTTTTGCTTTATCCCTGGTGTTATGAAAATTTGCAAAGATGGGTCTTAGCATCTACATCTTTTTTATCTGTTATGTTTGGTATCAACTGGACTTTTTCAATCTGAAACTCATGTTTTTCAGTTACAGAAATTTACTTAGCTGTCTGATAATTTCCTACTTTCTGTTTTTCTATTCTCTTTTATTAGAGGTGGACCTCATAAGTCTCATATTTTTCTCCTACTCCCCATCACTTAATCTTCTCTATTCTGGAAGATTTGACTTTATCTTCTGATTTTATTTTGAATATACCTATTAGAATTTTTATTTAATTTTTTTTCTCTTACTCCTTTTTATTTCATACCATTTTTATGATACAACAGTCATGTCTCTGAGGATAATAGCATTGAGGAGCATTTGTTTTTATTTTCCTCTGCTCCCCACATTGTCTCTGCTACTTTGTGGACATCTGTGCTCCTTAAGAGTGAAACACTGAAACACCGATGGTCAGAGTGTGCTGGGGCAGGTTACGGTGGCCTGTAGATCTCAGGGTATTAGGAAAGCAGGTGAGATTTCTCACTGTCCCTCTCACCTCCCCTAAGGTGATATGTGTGGTCCCCCAAATATCACCTTAGGTCTTTTCTTAAGGCCGCTCCAGGTCAGTTTCTCAATACACCTACCTCTCAGCACACCTCTGATGTCGTAAGTCGACATTCTCCTTTATGTCCTTTCCCTCCTTTTGCTGTAATACCAGTTTCAGAAGAAAGGAAGATATATTTATTTATTCTGCCTTAGTTAATTGGAATTTTTTTTAACATACAAAGTCATCAACTTTATTTTTTTAAGAAGGACAACTAGTTCTCTTTCTGAGATTCTGTGCTTCTTCCTTTATGTTACACTGTCTATTCTGAAATAATAGTGATATTAGGAGGTGGATGGAGTTGGGCAGAGTGGTGTACACCTGTAGTTCCAACTACTCAGGAGATTGAGGCAGGAGGGTCACTTAGTGCAGGAGTCCAAGTCCAGCCTGGCAACAAAGTGAGATTCTGTTTTGAGAAAAGAAAAGAAAAATTGAGAAATGAGGTTGGGGGGTCTTTTTTTTTTTTAAGTTATCCCTAAGATTTTTTTTTTTTTTAATTTTACTGGTCTGTGAAATCTAAAAATCAGTTACCTGCGGGTTTTTTTTTTTCCTTTTTAATAACCTCAACTCTAAAGGAAGGGACATAAATGGAACAGTGGTCAGAAGACAAGATATGAGAAAGAGAAGGTTTTTCTTTTCAGACTTGAACATAGAAAGAGGTTGAAGAAGTCAGTGTAGCAGAATAGTAAAGACAAGTAATGGCCTGTTCCTAGAGGAACACGGCGGTCAGATGGGGTTGTAAGGGATGAGTCACACCTGTTGGGCCCATGCTTCCCAGAGATGGAGGCAGGCAGGGTCTTCTCTTAGAAAGTTGTGGGGGTGGGGGGTCCTTGCCTGTGGCATGTTCCCACAGTTTCAAAATGGTAGAAATAGAGAGTAGAATAGTAGTTACTAGAGGCTTGGAGAAGGGTCGAGAAAGAGGGGACCCAAAGAGATTGACCAACAGGTACAAAGTTACAGTTAGGAGAATAAGTTGTGGTGTTCTATTACCCAGAAGGGTGACTGTAGCAAATAATACTTCAGCTCTTTGGGTAGCTAAAAGGAAAGATTTTGAATACTGTCACCACTAAATGGCAAATAAGGTGATGAATATGGAGATCACCTATTTGATCATATAAAGTCTATATGTGCATGGCAACATTATACTGAACCCCATAAATGTGTATAATTATAGTGTGTCAGTTATAGATTTTAAAAACTAGTTAATGAAAAAAGGGCAGGGTGGCTCACGCCTATAATCCTACCACTATGGGAGGCCGAGTCAAGTAGATTGCCTGAGCTCATGAGTTCAAGACCAGCCTGAGCCACAGCAAGACCCCGTCTCTAAAAATAGCCGGGCGTTGTGGCAGGCACCTGTAGTCCCAGCTACTCAGGAGCCTGAGGCAAGAGAATCGCTTGAGCCTAAGAGTTTGAGGTTGCTGTGAACTGTGACACCACAGCACTCTACCAGGGGTGACAAAGTGAGACTCTGTCTGGAAAAAAAAGAAAAAGAAAACAACTAAAATGGGGTGGGAAAAGAGGTTTATTTGTGCCTGGTCTGTGGCTATGTGATTACTTGGGTTTGGCAGACATGATAACCTGGAGGGCTAGAGCATCTGGGAACTGGGCACAAACCCTATCAACGGTCTCCCCTTTGTCTTCTCAGGCCTGGTCCAGATCCCTGTGAGCATGTACCAGACTGTGGTAACCAGCCTCGCCCAGGGCAATGGGCCAGTGCAGGTGGCCATGGCCCCTGTGACCACCAGGATATCGGACAGCGCAGTCACCATGGACGGCCAGGCTGTGGAGGTGGTGACATTGGAACAGTGACAAGCAGCCATATCATGGCACTATTTTCTAGTCTACTTCAAAATTTTTTACACGTTTGCAGAGGTGCAATCAAATGGAATTAAGTCTCTCGACTTTGGAAGAAAAGTTTTGTTTAACCTTTTTTTTTTAAAAGGAAGAAAGGCAGCGTATTTGGGAATTGCATTTTTTAAAGCACCACTTGATTTTCTGGGATTGGTGGAGCAAGAAACTGCGTTGTCAATTTCACTGTCCCAAAAAAGCCAAATTGTGGCAGGACTTCTTTCTGCAGAAACGTGTGTGTATACTTATGTGTGTGTATGTGTGAGTGTGAATATATGTATATGTGTACATATGGACATACACATTTACATATATGTAAAGTATATATATGCATATATATGTATGAAACCCGCATGGAATTATCTGTATGAAATCAAGGTGAGCTGTGGAAACAATAATTCACCCAGTTTAGTGGGTGGTAGGGTACGTGGCCAGACAGTCACCTGGTTTTGGTTCATACCAGGGTCATGCGTTGAGCTACTGACAAACTCAGGTGGAGGTGACCATGCCCTTCACCAAAGCTGCCTCCCAATGACCAGAACTCTCCCTGCTGGACTCACCTGAGGAAGGAGGTTCCAGAACAAGATGGGTCCAGAAAATGTGCTTATGAGGTCCGGAGGCCGCGTGGTCTGCCAGCTGAGACGCTCCTTGGGCTGGCCCAGGTGCTGACCTTGCCACGGGCAAATGAATGTCCTGAAAGCTCCCAGGCAGGGACAAGAAGGTTCTCCTCAGTCTCCCTTCTCCTCCCCTTCCCAGGAATCCTTCTTGATCTCATGACTATTAAAATGTTGCTTTGGTTTTAAGGTCAGTCCCGAATCGGTCATGTATGTGAACTGAAGGTAACAGAAGTATTAAGGGTTTGAGGAGTGCGCGTGTATGTTAGGTATGCTTGTCAGTGGGTGCTGCATGGTGGAAAGAACGGGAAGGGGGTGGGAGGGGTCGGAAGGGAAAGGAAGGAGGGAGAAGAAAATCTTCCCAGACCAGGGCACCCCAGTGGGAGCAATTTTCTCTAGCTGTCTGTAGCTGAACAGAGGAGACGCTGGAACTGAAAGGAAAGGAAACCTGGCTCATGGAAGGTTGGCCATCACAAGGAGATGTGTTTCCTGCATGCCTGGATCAGGCCCTGCTTCAGAAGAGACTCTGCAAGAACCATTTTCCTGGGTGCAGCCTGGAGGCTCAGGCCCTCAACGGCTTTCGGGCTCACATGTGTTGATTGGTGCGTGTTCTTTGTACTATTAAATTCTGTGCTTGCTCAGCTGCAAGCCCCAAGTCTCCAATGGCTAAATTCACCTGACTTTTCAACAGGCCAAATCTCTGCTCCTTGAGTACAGGGACAACTCTTCCTCCCTCCTCCTAGGTCCCCCTATTTGTGTGATAGTGTATTTAATGTGTTTTTTTAATGCAACATTAAAAGATTCTTCATGTCTTGCCCAGCCTTTGAGAAAAGTTTCAGATTCTTGTATTTGCTTGTTTTATATAAAACTATCCAATGTTCTTTGTATGTTCTTTTCTGTACCTAATGGGGGGAGGGAAGGGAAATTTACATACAAATAGTCCTAGTTCTACAATTTGTTATTTTTTTAATTATTATTTTTTATCGTCATTGTGAAGCTGTTCAGGGGCTTTAAAGTCTGTGTTCCTTTGTGGTGAAATAACATCCTAATAGTATGAGAAATTGCCAAGAAGAAGAAAAAAGCAAAACCCCAGTAGCAGAGCATGGATTCTGTGTTGTTTTCCATTCTGTCTATTACTGCCTCATTCAATAAATAGTTAAAAATGTGGCAACAGGAAGTGAACTGTTCATCTCTCTAGGAGCACCTGGCCTCTTAGGCAAAAGGAACTCTATCTTGGGGGAGCTTGTTCTGCTTTATAAATGGTACTTGTCAGCCTGGGCAACAGGAGACTCTGTCCCTTAAAAAAAAAAATTTGTAAAAATGGTACTTGGCTCAGCGCCCATGGCTCAGTGGTTAGGGCGCCAGCCACATACACCTGGAACCTAGCCCAGGCCTGCTAAACAACGACAACTGCAACAAAAAAATGGCCAGGCACGGCTTGGCGCCTATGGCTCAAGCAGCTAAGGCGCCAGCCACATACACCTGAGCTGGCAGGTTCAAATCCAGTCTGGTCCCGCCAAACAACAATGACAGCTGCAACCAAAAAATAGCCGGGCATTGTGGCAGGTGCCTGTAGTCCTAGCTACTTGGGAGGCGGAGGCAGGAGATTCGCTTGAGCCCAGGAGTTGGAGGTTGCTGTGAGCTGTGATGTCATAGTACTCAGAGACCCAGGGCGATAGCTTGAGGCTCTGTCTCAAAAAAAAAAATAACAACCAGGCGCTGTGGCGGATGCCTGCTGCAGTCCAGCTACTTGGGAGGCTGAGGCAAGAGAATCTCTTAAGTCCAAGAGCATGAGCTGTGAGCTGTGACACCACAGCACTCTATCAAAGGTGACATAGTGAGACTCTGTCTCTAAAAAAATAAAAGGTATTTATACTCAAAAATAGTAAAAAAAATAAAAAATGTACTTTGACCTCTGCCCCTGGACACTGCAGAGCTCTGTAAGGAAGATGAGAAGCTCTGTAAGGAAGCTATCTCCGGACCACCTCCATTTCCTATGTAATCTGTTTTAATTTTTTTTATATTTTTTTTACTTTTTGAGACAGAGCCTCAAGCTATCCCCCTGGGTAGAGTGCTGTGGCTTCACAGCTCATAGCAACCTCCAACTCCTGGGCTCAAGCAAGTCTCCTGCCTCAGCCTCCCAAGTAGCTGGGACCACAGGCACCTGCCACAACGCCCGGCTATTTTTTGGTTTCAGCCATCATTGTTGTTTGGTGGGTCCAGGCTGGATTTGAACCCGCCACCTTAAGTGTATGTGGCTGGCGCCTTAGCCACTTGAGCCACAGGCGCCGAGCCTGTAATCTGTTTTATTATAATGATGTTTTGGGAGAAAAATCTAATTTGAAAAGTCCTAAAGATGGTTTGAAAGCCTCTACTCTGAAGGGTTTTTTTTTTTAATTTCATATCCATGTTAGAAATAAGGGTAAGTGATGGTGCCTCTCCATCTTGGGAAGTTCTTCCTACTTCCTAAGTTAATATTGGACTGAATAATCCTTCTTGAAGCAGAACCCGCAAGCCACGAGCTGTTTCCTTATGTATTCACTTCTTGGTTTTTCACTCAGCTTTCTTAACATGGCAACTGCCATCTTTCTAGCTGCATCTCCTGTCACAGCCCCAGCTTCAGGCCTCCCTAAACCCCCCAGGACATTGCACTCAGCCATGCTTGTGCACACTCAGCCTCACCCTGGAATGACCTCTCCCCCTCCCTTGCCACCTCCACCACCCCTTTTTCTTTTTGTGTTTTGGTTGGTTTCCAGGTGATGCTGATTAGAAGAATTGGATGGGAGGCCAAAAAGTGTTTTCCTTGCTGCATGACAGTGGTTCAGTAAAGCCCAGTGCCCACCTCTCCCCTTCTCGCCAAATGGCACACTGTCACCTATCTTCACCAGAGAGGGACAACCAGAAAAAGGATTCATTGCAGCCCAGTCAACCAAACCTCCCTACACTTGACCGCCTGTGGGGCAGCTGGGTTTTCTAGACTACCTGCTGATTAGGAGCAGTCTCTCCAGAGGTGCCTTCCACACGGTCCTTGCTATTTGCCAGGTGTTGCCTTTGCTACAAGCAAGTATCACAACTGTTTTTGATGGAACTGATGGAGACCTTCACTTTCATTACAGCCTAAGTAGCCAACAGGAGCTACTAACTCAGCTGTCCAGAGGAACCAGGTAGGCCAATCAGTGAGGGAAGTGGGGGCAACTTGGGTGTGAGACGAGGGGGAGTGATGGAGACACAGGGTGGAGAGTGTCTAAGGGGGGGCCTCCCCTGGGTGCTAGTAGGTTGTTTCTGTGCAAGAGTATAGACCCTAATTCCCCATCTTCAAAAATTTCCAGAGAATCTGGGGAATCTAGAGTTTTGTATGAAATCTGATTTCAACAATAAATTAAAAATTCTTAACATAAAACCCACATGTAGACCAAATCTAGCCTGAAGGGTCAGTTCTGTTTAACTTCATGAATGCCTAGCATATGCCAGGTGAATACAGCATAGTAGTGGCCCCAAGAGAAACGAGAGAGAAGGAGACAAATATTCAACAGATCTGGATCTGGACAGAGCTCTGCTAGAACAAGTTCTGTTATCTCATTTGGTCTCTGTTAAGTAGTTTATCATCCAGGCTACAGACAGGGATCTGGTACTCACAGAAACCAAAAGACTGGTCTAAGATTCCTGGTTTGAAGTCCTGCATCTAGGATTTATTGGTGATGCTGGTCACTACTGTGTTATCCCAACTTAGACAAGCTGAGGAGAACCAGAAGGGGAGGGAACAGGAGGGGCCATCTTGTCAGTAAGAAGACTGGAGGCTGCCAGTGTCCCGTGGGCCTCCCTCAGATGGAAGCAAGTTGCTCTTCCCTGCTCAGTTATGCCCCTGGAGGCTCAGCTGCAGGCACAGCAGAGTCATGCCAGACCCGTAGCAGTTCCTTTTGGTGTTAGTACCAAAATTCCTCAGGGAGTAAAGTGGAGCTTAATTATTTGGAGCATGAGCTACAAAGCCAAAGCCTACCTCTCCCCTCTCACCACCTCAGTGGGGTGTGGGCTGCCCATATCATCAGCCCAAGCCAGTTGCTTTGACACAGCTGCTGCTTAGATGCCCCAGCGTTTCCACCTAGCTTCTGCTGTTTACTCCAGGAGCGCAGCACTCAAGAGAAAACTCAGGATGATGGAGGCAAAGGAAGGAGGAACCACAGAGAGGGCAGGGAGGACTAGGACTGGGCTTGGACTGAAATAGCTGAAGAGTGCAGGTTATCTACACCTGTGGTACCACTCCTGGTGCTGCTGAGCTCCCGAGTTAGGCCCCAATCCCCTCTGAATTTGAGTTTCTCCCTCCTGAAAACCACTTAGCTGTTAGCAAATATTCCTTGAGTGCTGGTGGTCTAGGGAGTATTCCTGCTTAGTAGGGAAAGGAGGAAGGAACAAGGATAACCATCATCTGCAGGAGGAGCCAGGGTTTCCTGAGAGCCTAAGACTTCCATAGAGCCACCCTAGGAGGCAGGAATAGGCCTGGGCTTTCCTCACTCTTGTTGATGAGAACTGTATCTTGTCTACAATGAGAGTATATGGTAGCGACAGTAATAGTTCTATAGCCCTTACAGTATAGATTTACCTATGGCCAGGCACAGTGGCTCTCACCTGTAATCCTAGCACTCTGGGAGGCTAAGGGGGGGTGGATTGCCTGTGCTCAGGAGTTCAAGACCACCCTAGCAGAAGTGAGACCCTCATCTCTACTAAAAATAAAAATTAAAAAAAAAAGAAAACTGGCTCGGTACCCATAGCTCAGTGAGTAGGGCACCAGCCACATACACTGAAGGTGGCGGGTTCCAGCCCAGCCCAAGCTGGCTAAACAGTAATGACAAGTGCAACCAAAAATAGCCAGGCATTGTGGCAGGCACCTATAGTCCCAGCTACTTGGGAGGCTGAGGCAAGAGAATCGCTTAAGGCCAAGAGTTTGAGGTTGCTGTGAGCTGTGATGCCACAGCACTCTAATGACAGCGACATAGTGAGACTGTCTTAAAAAAAAAAAACAAAACTAGGCTCGGCACCTGTGGCTCAAGTGGCTAAGGCACCAGCCACATACACCTAAGGTGGTGGGTTCGAATCCAGCCTGGGCCCACCAAAACAACAATGATGGCTGCAGCCAAAAAATAGCTGGGCGTTGTGGCGGGCGCCTGTGGTCCCAGCTACTTGGGAGGTGGAGGCAGGAGATTCGCTTGAGCCCAAGAGTTGGAGATTGCTGTGAGCTGTGATCCACAGCACTCTACCTAGGGGGATAGCTTGAGGCTCTGTCTCAAAAAAATAAATAAATAAATAAATAAATAGCCAGGCATGGTGGGGGTGCCTGTAGTCCCAGCTACTGGGAAACTGAGGCAAGCAGATCTTGAGCCCAAGAGTTTGAGGTTGTTATGAGCTATGACACCACAGCACTCTACCCAATGTTATACTCTGTCTCAAAAAAGAAAAAAAAACTATATATTATTTAATCTTTACAAAGTACTATTTTTATCCCCACTTTACATATGAGAAAATGGAGGTACGAAGAAGTTAATAAGTTAAATAAACTCTTGGATTTTGTCCAAGTTCATACTGTTAGTAAGAGGCAGAGCCAAGATACAAACTGGAGTTGGCTGACCCCAGAATCTGGGTCTGGAAACACTGTTTGATATGCTGCTCTTGTGGCCTGAAATGGATGAGACTAGGAGGGTTAAGAGCATTCCGTTATTTTTTTAAGATAGCTTAACTAATATGGGAGGGTGTTTAAAAATGCTAGGAACTGTCTCCCCAAATTTAATCCACTTGCAAATAAAATTGTTAGTAAAACTTAAGAA